TGATCGTGGTGGGGAGTACCTCTCTGCGGAATTCATTAGTTATTTATCAGAATGTGGAATTACCTCTCAATTATCTGCACCAGGAACTCCACAACAAAATGGTGTAGCTGAAAGTAAAAATAGGACTCTTATGAAAATGGTTAGATCAATGATGAGTTATTCCAGTTTGCCTTCGTCCTTTTGGGGACATGCCTTAGAAATAGCAAATTACGTTCTGAATTCAGTTCCTTCAAAGTCTGTACCTTTGACCCCTACAGAATTGTGGACTGGGCGTAAGCCTAGCTTGCAGCATATTCGAGTTTGGGGTTGTCCGGCACATGTGCTAAAAGGGAAAACGGATAAATTGGAGGCGAGAACGGATGTATTTGTGGGTTTGTGGGTTATCCAAAAGGGACGAAAGGTGGTTTATTCTATTGTCCTAAAGAAAATAAGGTAATTGTTAGCATAAATGCCAAGTTTCTTGAAGAGGACTATTTGATGAACCATGTTCCTAGAAGTAAACTTGTTTTACAGGAACTTAGTAAATGAATGGAAACTCGGTCATCTGAAAAATAAAACGACCAGATGCAAACCCCGAAAGTCGATTTTGACATACCGTTGCATTTTAGTAGTGGGAGAAATGTCAATAGACTTAATGTCTCGCAAGAACAAATGCCCGAAGTCATACTACCACAAAGTAGTGGGAGTCATGTTAAGTAGACTGCACAACAGGAAGAAGTCGTTGATATCCCAGTGGATAACATGGAGACTCAAGTTCCTGATAATGATGTGGTTCAACCACGAGAACATAATGGTGTAGTTGCAACTGATGTAGTGCGTAGTTGTAGTGGGAGAGAAATAAGACGACCAGTTCGTTATACGCTCTTGGGAGAATCATATGATAGGATCCCTGAGGAGACAACTTCTGAACCTGTCAATTACGACCAAGCACTACATGATAAAGATGCTGATAAGTGGGTTGTTGCTATGAAATCAGAGATGGGGTCCATGTACTCTAATCAAGTCTGGGATCTTGTAGAACCACCTGATGAGATTAAACCCATTGGATGCAAGTGGATCTATAATAAAAAGAGAGGAGTAGACGGAAAAGTGCAAACTTTTAAAGCAAGGTTTGTAGCGAAAGGGTTTACTCAGAAAGAAAGGATCGATTATGAGGAAACCTTCTCAACGGTAGCCATGCTTAAGTCTATTAGGATTATCTTATTCATTGCTGCTCATTATTATAATGAGATTTGGAAAATGGATGTTAAGACAGCTTTCCTTAATGGAAGTCTTGATGAGTGCGCATCTATATGATGCAACCAGACTGTTTCGGGGAAAGTGGCAAGGAACACATGTTGTGTAAGCTTAAAAGGTCCATTTATGGACTAAAACAAGCATCTAGGGCATGGAACACTTGTTTTGACAAGGTGTTTAAAACTTTTGGTTTTGATCAGTGTCTTAACGAATCTTGTGTGTACAAGAAATGGGATGGGGATAAAGTGACATTTTTAATCTTATATGTATATAACATATTGCTCATAGGAAATAATGTGGGCATGTTGGGTTCAGTTAAACAGTGGTTGTCCACGCACTTCGATATGAAAGATTTGGGAGAAGCGGCTCATATCATTGGGATCAAGCTCTTGCGAGATTGCAAGAAAAGGATATTAGGCTTATCCCAGGCTCTTTATATTGATACAATACTCTCCAGGTTTAGCATTCATGATTCCAAGAAAGGATTCTCCCTTTCAGGCACGGAATTTCTCTATCAAAAGATCAGTCTCCTAAAAACTGATAAATAGATAGAAAAGATAAAGGCGGTCCCCTATGCATCTGCTATGCTATTTTATGTACTACATTTGATATCTACTTTATCGTTGGCGTTGTTAGCATATCAGTCAAATCCTGTGAGAGATCACTGGATAGCGGTTAAGCATATAATCAAGTACCTAAAAAGGACTAGGGATTACATGCTAGTCTACCATTCGGATGACCTTGTGCCTATTGGGACTGATTCGAACTTTCAATCAGATAGAGATTCTAGAAAGTCTACCTCAGGAAATGTGTTTACTCTGGGAGGTGGAGCTATAAGTTGGAGGAGCATCAAGCAAACTTGTGTTGCTGATATCACCATGGAAGCCGAATATGTGGAAGCCTCTAAGGCAGCCAAAGAGGCGGTTTGGCTCGGGAACTTCCTAAGAGAGTTGGGTGTGGTTTCCTCGATTCAAGCACCAATAACACTTTATTGTGATAATAGTGGTGCGGTTGCAAATTCGAAGGAGCCACGAAGCCATAAAAGAGCAAAGCACATTGAGCGTAAATATCATTTAATTCGTGAGATAGTGCAAAGAGGGGATGTAGTAGTCACCAAGATTGCATCGGAGAACAACTTGGCAGACCCGTTTACTAAGAGCTTGCCACAGAAGACTTTTGATAGGCATGTAGACGGAATGGGTATCAAAATTGTAGATGCATGGTTATGAGTCTAAGTGGGAGATTGTTACGATATACTATAAACCATGCGTATTGTTATAGTATTCTTTATGGAACAATTGTTTATTCATTTATTCAATTCAATAAAGTTTTATTTTAAATAGATCATGTATTTTTCTGTGTGTCTTTGCTTATATAGTAGATGATTTAGCGTTTATAGTTTAGCTTATACACGGAAAATTAAATCACCGGTTCTTATAAGTCATTAAGTTTATGTTCACAATCTAATGATGGAATTGGACAGACCATCGGAATGGTTGTAGTACAAGATTAAATATAATTTATCTTGATGATGGCATGGTTTAATTCTGACTTCTTGTGCTAGTACATTTTGTATGTATTGAACGGATCAAGTAGAGATAAGTATTTTATACTGACTTAATAAAATAATTTCTCTAGTCCATTCAATGTACTTATACTCTTAATCTTGACATAATTATTATTAGTTGTGTGTGTCATTTATTATTTTGATTTATTAAAAGGCGAGATTCTTTCATGGGTCAATAAGCCTAATAAATTGGACAATAATGATATACATTGGCGAAGTAATAATCAGTTGATAGAATTCATGTCTCGATTTTTTAGATTGATGATACTCCTTTATGAAAGCTTATAAGTTTTCATGTGTAAACTCGGCCGGTGAATTTTTTTATCTAACACATGAAATAAGTTAAGTGAAAGTCTAAATGAAGTAATCAATAAATTAAATTGTCAGTAATTTAATTTGATTGGTTAGTATCTGAATCTTAACATGGACAGTTAAATAATGTTTTATGGAAGAATTTCAAAACTAAACTAAGGAGTGCAATTACGAATTTTTAGTGGAATAATTCGTAATTTATTATGGTAGAAAGTAATTTCAAATTTTGAAATTAATTCCACAATAGGAAACCTTGTTAATTAAATTATGTGGTCCCTACTGTGCCTAAATAATAGAAAATAAAGGAAACATATCCTTAGTGGAAGAAGAAAACCTAACAGGTTTTGGAAAAGGGTTTTAACCTAAAAAAACGTGGCTATATACATACTCCATATAGGGCTAGCCGTTTTTTACACTGTTTTTACACGTGTTTCTTCCTTGGAATTTCGCCCACCCGAAATTCTCTCTTTCCGGATATTATTTAGGTAACGCGGTAGAAGACTGTGGAGGTTTTACTGAGGTCGCGGTCTAGCAACTCTGGAACTGAAGACTGAGATTAATTTGTTTCGTTCACGCTTCAAGAGGTGACTCGAATAATCTCCGTATGTGCTAATCGTTTAATTCACACGTGAATATGATACTATAATTGCTTCCGCTGCGATATATAATCCAACACTCTCTACTATTGTAATCAAACTTAGCGAGAAATTTTATTTTGAGTGAGACCAACCAACAAAACTTGTATGAGGCACCTCTACCTATTTGACAAATGGAAATATGGGTCCCACGTGTCTCTATCCCCTTTTCTCAATTCCCTCCCTCATATTTTTACCAACTTTACGGGATGACAAAATGAAAAAGCTGTCAACTTTTATCCTCTATCTTCTACTGCTTTTCTAAAAGGAACAGAACAAGTGGATTTTTAGGGTCGTTGTTCGTGTATGCTTGTCCAAATTCAAGAGTGTAAAAAGAAGAATGACTGATTTTTTTTTTCCTGTATTTTAAAATAGAAAACTGATAGGCAAAATATTTTTGCGGGAGAATCATTGATTTTTTGAGATATCTATGCTTTCTAGTTCCTTTGTAATTGTCGGATCAATAGTTTGGTTGAAGCTTATTAATCTGATATCTCACTAGTGTGCAGTGATATAAACTCTACTTCACATTTATCATTTAATTTTAGTATTGTTGCTTGGATACAACTTTGAATATCTTTAGGTTTGAAGACCTTTTCTTTTGTGATGATATGGGATTCTAGGTTTGAATTTTTATCGTGTACTTTATTTTCTGCGATAATTGAAAATTGTTGGATTCTTAGTGGCATATGCTAAATTTGAATCGTTGTTTGAGTTGAAAGTGTTAATAAAAATATTTGATGGTTGGATTCTACGAGACTGCGTTGGAGAAGGAAAGGAACAAAATGCATTTGACTCAAAATTAAAGAGATGATGCATTTTAGTAAAAGTTGAAAGAAGAAAAAGGAGGACTGAATATCACTGCTGAGAGAAACAGGAGCAAAAGTAAGTAATGAAGGACCCACTCTTCAGTAAAATTGGGTAAAAAAGATGAGAAATGAGATGGTGGAATGGGAAACACGTAGTGTCATAGAGATAAAAGGAGGGAGCTGACATGTCATACAAGTTGGTTGAGTCTCCCTCAAAATAAAATTCCTTTAACTTACCTGTATTTGTCAATTTTTCTATTTGATTTACTATATCTTTTATGATGTTCTGCAGTATTGATCTCACATCAAGAGCAGAGACGACCATGAGAAACGACTTCTCCATATGCTGAAAAATATTGATGAATTATTCAGACCATAAAAGTAACATTCAATATTATTTGCAAGCATGTTGAAGTGAACAAAATACTAAGTAGGAGTAACTGGTTTAATAACCATCAGTTTATCAACTTTCATACAAATAATTCGAAATACACGCGTCTCTCGAGGTCGAATACCATAAAATTCTATTTACAATCATAGCCCTACATTTCTTTCTGTTTCTAAAAACTATGTTTCTGGGAAGAAAGATCAGTTGGGACCCCAACAGCTCAAGTACATAACTTTCCTTAAAGATTCTTCAGATTGCTTTGGCTTCTCACTACTTGCAATCAGTGACGATGAAGAAGAAGAAGAAGAAGAAGAAAGCTTCTTAGTTTGAGAGAAAGATCTCATGTTATTCTTTGCGTGTTGAGCGAAGGACCTCAAAGGGTAATTCCATCTGCAGAAACCTTGATCTTTTAAAACTTCCACTGCTCCAACACTCGCTGCTACTATCCACGCTTTCCTGCTTGAACTCATGGTTTTCTTCTTAAATAAATATAATCGAACCTCTATATTTTCTATTTCGTTTTAAAATAGATAGAATCCTGCTTTTGCTTATCTATCTTTTGATTTGATGATTTTGAAGTTGATACCAGGAGTGTGAAGCTAAGGCTGAATTTATAGGCAAAAGAAAAAAAGAACTCAAGTGTGTTGAGAGAATCGGACCTTTTGGACAAGCTAAAGGTGATAAACCAGTGGCTGTTTGGAGAACTGTGTGCTCTTTACAGTTGCAGCAAGTGGTTTTCTAGTTATTTTATTCGTGAAAACAGGGGACAACATTTATGTACTGATTTATTCAATTTTTATCAGAGGACAAGGGGTTGGACACCATCCCTCACGGGGGTTAGGTTCAAATACTTAATAAGTTAGGGAGGAATTATTAATACAGCGATAGTAATGTATGAAATTATAGTAGTATAAAACTTAATAATACAAGAATTATGTAATATAGGCTTTATTTTTTATTGAATGTTTAACATATTAGTATAATATGTATAATTCAAGATATTTATTTTAACTTTTTATATAAAAAAAAAATCCTTTTACTGTTATAATAGTTAGCTTAGCATTTTAATATATGTATTACTATTATTCATATTCATCCTATCCTATATAATATTATAATTATATATACACACACACTTGACATAATTTATGCATGTTTATTTAGGAAAGCTAAAAGGAACAATGAAAAACGCCATATTAATTTTACGTGAAGATTAAAACTCCTCGAGTTCTAACCAAATATTGTACAAATTAATGCGATTTTATGTGGAGATAATCAAACCATCCTAAGTTTAGTAAAGTTTAGGAGCTTTGAATCGGTATGGTTCAGTAAATTCATTTCTTGTACGGAGATCATACAACATTCAAGTAATTTATGGTTCGGTAAATTCATTTTATCTTGTACAGAAATCATCCATAGGTAAGTGCTGTCTCGGTAAGTGCTCAACAAAACTAGATGTTGTTGGCTGTGGATTCCTGTAGATTTGGAGCATGGTTTTCCGCACTTTGGTGTGCAGATGTGGATGTACATTTTTGCCCTCGCATAATTTTCATGAGAGAATATTTGAGTGTGTAGTTGGTATTTCAAGTATTACTACTTGAGAGTGGAGAATCGGCTTGAGGGAGCACACAGAAATTTGGTATCTTGTTTGGATTATTTGAGACGTGCTGATGTGCATATAATGCCTAAATACATGAACAATAAGATAAATGCACACGGATTGGCAAAGACTACTTAACCATGGGAAAAGATCTTGAAAACAAAACCACTTAAATGTTGTGGAGTTACGTGCTTCAAAGTAACCACGTGCAGCTCACACGGTTGAAAATTTATAACGTTGTGGTATGATATTTTTAAAACTTATTCAGATTCAACCAAACTAGTGTCGTCTTCAAAATTCTAAAACCATGGTGGTTTGTTTATGTGGCGATGGATAATTATATGAGCCAGTGGATAATGCTATCAACGACCAAATTTGAGTTAAAAAATTCTCTATACATACAAACAAGTTATCCTTTTCTGTCTCGTATATCGCTGCTAAATATAATGCGATATTTATCACTTTATAGATGCTAGGGAGCAAAGTATATATCGCCGAAGGAGTTCTGTTGGATTTGTGCTTTCAATTTTGTGGCAAAAGTTAAAGACAGTACACTCAAACTCCAATAAAAGTTCTTGGAATTCAAAGTAATACGGGCTTTAACTCCATGAATTTTCCTGGAATTCCATTATATATTTCAAATCCAAGAACAATTCCTAAGGTTTTGAACTATAAATTTTTAAACTTCAGTAATAATTCCTGGAATTCTTCCATATTTTAGGAATTAATGAAAATAATCTCCCAGGCCAAGTCTTCTTCCTTCCTACGGTTTAACACAGTGGCGGATCCAGGATTTTAAAATTATGGGTACTCGCCGATAAAAACTTCAAAAGAAGAGGAAAAATGAATTTACTTGTGGGTGCTCGCTCAATATTTATTTAAATATTTGTACAGTTGCCTATATAAATTTATTAATATGGTCAAAGTTAATGGGTGCTTAAGCACCCATGTGCATCCGCCACTGGTTTAACATAAGGATGATTATTAACACTTTTCACTGTAGTTTGGAGGGTATGGTTTATGTCCTCCTCTATGTACTAACCTTTTTTTTGCCTAAACCCCAGCATCCATCAATGGTGGGCTTTTGTAATAACAAAAAGTAGTACTCGTCGATTTCACTTCAAATGTTTTTAAACGAAAAATGAGAAATGAATTTAACGATATAAAATGGTGCAAAACCTCAAAGTTACAAGATAATTGAGTCCAAGATATGTGGATTGCAAAAGTCAAAAAAAGATCTATCCATTAATTTTAGCCGGGCAATTTAGCCTCAACCTTTACGGATTACCGGTTTATCCATTCATCATTTGGCCTCTCAATATTGTCAAAGACTATGTACAGAAAGATGACACAAAATTTAACTACTATTGGTTTCAATTAGGACCCCAACAGCTCAAATACAAGACTTTCCTCAGAGACTCCTCAGACTGCTTCAATTGATGTTTGTTTGCAGAAACCAAAGAAGAGCGAGGAGAGAGCTTCTTGGCCTGTGAATATGACCTTACATTGTTCTTTGCGTGTTGATGTATTGTTCTCAAGGTGTAATTCCACCTACAAATTCCTTGATCTTTCAGTGCCTCTACTACTCCCAAGCTCACTGCTGTAACCCATGCCCTGCTTGTTGAACTCATTCTCTAATTAATCTTGATTCTTGAAACTCTTTTCTAAGTGTTGGGAAGGGTTATTTTGCTGGAAAAGGTTTACGAATGCTTGTATAGAACGTAGATTGAATTCTCTCCGTCTATATATAATGCACATTTGCACATACAAATAAGAGCCGGAAAAAGAACAAACCCAAAACAAGAGGCTTTTGGCTGTGCTTTCTGTGGTCTTGGAGCACAGTCATTTTCACTTTTGGAGTTTGGTGTGAGGCTGTGAATGTACATTTCCGCCCTTGCTATATTTTTTTATGATCACAATTATAGGGGTGTAGTTGGTATTTCAATTATTAACACTTGAGAGAGGGTCCGTCGGTTGAAAGAGCACACAGAATTTTGAGTTGTTTTGTAGTACTTGCTAGATTAGAGAACACAAAGAGAGACATGTGCACTTGCTACAATGAGACACGCAGAGTGACATGTGCTGATCGATATTGCCAATATATAGATAAATAAATATTCTCTCCGGTCCAAAATAAGTAATCTTTTGGCCTTTTTTTGTGGTCCAAAATAAGTGATTTTTCCAGATTTCAATAATGAATTAATTATTTTTTTCCTACATTGTCCTTGGAGTAAATAGTGTTGGAATATGTGTTAGGAGTGTTTATGTGAGACAGTAAAGGTTAATATGGTCAATTCTATTGCTATATAATGCTAAAAGGTGGATTTATTAATGTAGACATCGAAATTTTAAGGAAAAAGTCAAATCCTAAATTAAAGATACTACAGGACTCTAGAAATCCTAGGAGTCTATTAGGGTTTCTTGGAGGCTGCTCTACCCTAAACTCTAACTCACACCTATATAAAAGGATGCATATTCCCTTGAAGAGGTGTCTCAAAATCCCATAAACTCTTGGGATATTCACAAAGAGATCAAAATATGGCCGGATACTTCTTGACAATCAAATAGTTCAAGAAGCTGGAGATCAAATACATCCCCAGGAGGTCTGCATCATCCTACATTCGAGAAATACGCGGCTTAAGCCCTCGAATCACGGAGATTATCAGGAGAGAAGAATCAAGGGAGAAACAGGATTGTACCCGCATCATTTTATCAATAAAACTATGTTTCTTCGTATTTATTTTGTGATTGCAATTTATTTTTGTATCACATATAATTTGTTGCAAACAAATTGACACGCCCAGTGGGAAAGTATCTACCTCTCATCTCAACTTTTCATTCACCAAATACCAATAACATTGAAATGGCTTCAAAGAAAATCAACTCCGTTTCAACTTCCACCAAGGCTGCTAACTCCAGGTTCTATACTGATGTGGAAAGCATCCTCGATGTCACCTTTGGAAGCTTCGGACCAGTTACGAGGAGTAAAGCAAGCTCTTTAGGACAACAAGCACCCCAAGTGCCGTCCGCATCAACCCCTGTTTTCGGATCTTCATCCTCAAAAGGAGCAAGATCTTCCACAAACGCATCTGAAGGAGGAAGCGATGTTGCTGAAAAGATCAAGAAAACTCTTGCTCTGCTTGACCTCTCCGGATCCAAGCACTCTGCTGTGAAGGAAGATGATGATGCTTCAAGTGATGGATCCTCCCCACTTACACCACATAGCGTGAGCCAATCAAGGATCAATCTGTGTGAAAATCCATGCTACTCTCCGTCGTCCACGACAATCATGCAAGCCATGGTGACAAACACTTCATCTATGGAGGAGCAGTTGGCAAACTTGACGGAAGCAATCGCTGGCTTGACCAAATGCATGCAAAATCAAGAGGCTAGAATTGACAAGCTAACAGACAGGGTGGGAATCTTGATGGAAGAAGAATCCACCCATGCACCCGGCAAGCTCCCAGAGGTTCTAGAGAGTGACTCTCCCCCAAGACAAGCAGCATCCACTAAGGCTATCCCTGTCTCATCTGAAGGGATGATTCCAATCGATCAACTGAAGGAGTTCATCGAAGGAACCATTAAGAACAAATATGAAGTTGCTGCCAAATCCTCCCTTACATATGCAAAGCCGTACACTGCAAGGGTCGATATGTTGAAGATGCCTGCTGGCTATCAACCTCCGAAGTTTCAACAGTTTGATGGTAAAGGTAACCCAAAGCAACATGTTGCGCACTTCGTGGAGACGTGCAACAATGCTGGGACTTATGGAGATTACCTCATCAAGCAGTTTGTCCGCTCGCTAAAAGGAAATGCTTTTGACTGGTACACGGACCTCGAGGCTGGATCTATCGATAGCTGGGATCAACTAGAGCAAGAGTTCCTCAACCGCTTTTATAGTACGAGATGTACTGTGAGTATGATAGAACTTACAAATACTCGTCAACGAAAGGGGGAACCAGTTATCGACTTTATCAATCGTTGGAGGAATGCAAGCCTCAACTGCAAAGACAGGCTTAGTGAAGCTTCAGGCATAGAGATGTGCATCCAAGGCATGCATTGGGGATTGCGCTACATCTTGCAAGGTATCAAGCCTGGCACATTTGAAGAACTTGCAACTCGTGCCCATGACATGGAATTGAGCATGGCCTCCGCTGGAAATGAAAGGCTGCCCATCTATGAACCTCGC